CCACCACAGCACGACAGACAGACGAGTGGTGGCCGTTTGGTTTTATACTTTCTACTAGTCATAAAATACCTTAGCCAACTTTGTACATTTTTGATAAAATTATTTTTAATTATACATAATTTTTTTCTTTTTCCATATGGGCTAAAATGCTGTACCACAATGTCAGTTTGAACCACAAGCTCAGCCATTCAAACTTACCAACTACTACTTGGAAACCCTATATGGGGTTACTATGAGTCAGAACTGATTCGATAGCACTTAACAACAACCATCACCACAACATGTTTCATTAGCTTTGAGAAATACCTTAAATTATTTTTTTCTCTAAGAAAAGTTAGTACTGGGTAGTCTGAGTTTCTCAGCAAAAGTAATAGGATTACAAATTCTGATTCTATTAACTGTGAAACTATTAAAGATTTCACTAATCTCTAAATACAGTCAGAAAGAAAATCTTGTCAAAATTAAGTTAATCTTTGGTTACTTCATTATCTTTTATACCTCTGCTTCTAAACTTCAGAATGACAAGAATGGAACTATATAACACCTGAATGGCCATGTGGCAGCAGGAAAGCTTTTGGCATTACCTAGTCTATATCTTTGTCCATTTCAAGCTGTAACCTAAATGCTATATTCCTGTATCCTACCCCAACTAAAGACTTTTAAGAACACCTTTCAGTTAGAAAAAATAAAGTAGGTGAGTTTTTGCTTTTTTAAATATCACTCAATTTTTTTCCCCTGTAGTAGTAATGTCAGTTTTGGGTCTTTCCAATAATTCAGGACTTAAAATAGAAAGGGTTAATTCTCCTACAATAAAACGTATTGAATTATATCCCAACATGGACATAAGGAACCCATTTTGACATTCACTCAAATGACTAAAACTAATTTCCAGCTTAGTTAATTATTTGGCCTGGATATTGCTGTTCAGTTTACCTGGCGTGTGATCAGAATCTGGACTCAGTCCTTCAGCAGGAATTGTCTTGCCAATGGCCCAGTCCAAGTCATCCTGGGAGTCTTGAGTAAGACTGCAAACAGTGGTCCAGTGTCCTACAGTTTCAAAATTACAGCCTCCTGCAATACTTGTATATGGGCCTAAAGGAAGCAGAAAAGTTAATGTTATTTTCTAAAAATGTATATCACACTTGATATTATAGTACATTCATGATGATTTAAAATAATTATTTGCATATTCTGATTCTTTATAAAAATTGTATTGTGTGCCTCTGTGTATATATTGTAAGAGTCCTGGTGTAGCACTGTTGGTTAATGTGCTGCACTGCAAGGTGTTTGAACCCTAAGATCTATGGTTTAGGCACACCAGTTGCTCATTGGAAACTCTATATAGGATCACTATGGGTTGGAACTGACTCAGTGGCACTTAACAACAGCAACCTATATATATTATAAATCTTAACACTTATATCTGTGGGTAAGGATCCCGAGTGACTTAATGGTTAAATAGTAGGCAGCTAACAGAAAGGTCAGTGGATGGGGCCCATCAGCAATGATAAGGGAGAAAAGACTTGGAATTTTGCTTTAGTAAAGACTGATACGTTAGGGAACCCTATGGCATATGAGGTCACTGTGTGCTGGAATATAGTGGATGATACACAACAACAATATACCTATAAATATACTCCCATATGGGACTAGGATTTACTTTGTTATGCTAATAAGGTCATATCATTGCACAGTTGTTTAAACCGCTCACTTCTAAGATATTAAATAGCAGATCACGTACAGAGGAAAGAAGACACAGGGGGAAGAGCAATGCTATCTGAAGGATAGGGTGGCAGATCATTCTACAACCCTAAGACCTCCAAGGAATGTTGAGAATAGAGAACTGAAAAAGTAATTTTCCCCCCAGACTGAAAAGAGGGAGACCTCTCCTAAAGACAGTGCCCTAAATTGAGACTTCTAGCCCCTTAAGCAGTGAGAAAATAAATTATTTTTGTTAAAGCTATTCATTTGTGGCATTTTTATCAAAGCAAAACTACAGGCATTGGGATCAGTGGTGATATTAGTTGTTGCTGCTGTTGTGAGCCCATGCACAATGAACAAAATGTACAGAATGTTGTCCCATCCTGTCCCATCTTCAAGAGTGCTATGGATGAAACCATTATGATCCATAGGAGCTCTACTGCCTGATTTTCAGAGGTAAGTCATTAGGTCTTTCTTCCTAGTCTGTCTTTGTATAGAAGCTCTGCTCAAACTTGCTCATTTTCATAGTAACATGAAATACTTCACTGAAAGGCTAGCTGTTGGCTTCTCATGTGGTACACACACTGGACATGGAACCCTGGTCTTCTACCTGGACAGTGAGACTCTTCTACCACAGAACCACCACTGCCCTCCTATCACTTTTACAATGAAGCTTGCTTGCTTATTAATTAAAGTGGTTATTAGAAGCCATTCACGAATACTGCCATATATCTGTAAAGAAAGTATATTGATTGATTGTATATAAGCTATACACAAAACTGTGTCTATACATATAACAATGAGCAGTGTATTATGATAACAATAAATATAGTATGATACTAAACCATTTTAATTTAGATATTTAATTTAATCCCTCCATTTACCCTAGAGTCCTGGTGTGGTTCTGCAGGATAATGCACTGGATTGCAAGGTCAGTTTGAACCACAAGGTTGGCAGTTCAAAACCAACAGCTACTCCTCATAAACCCTATACAGGGTATCTATGAGTCAATACCGACTTGATGACACTTAACAACAACATTCACCCTGCAGTATCAACTGCATAGACCATTAGAGACACAAATTCATTTACAAAAGAATAGGTACTTGTGGCAGGCGTAGTAATCCATATAGAGCACAGATCATCTTGTGGTATTTTATCAATAACTGATGCACAGTATTTCAGAATTAGTCAGTAAATAATGAAACATTCTCTTCTGAGGGATGATTGATAGCTCATTAAAAATTCAATTACTTACAAAAAATTAATAGATGATAACTGTCCATTTCTTAGTCATCTGAAAAGTGTCATTATAATATCCTGATTTGTGGGATATATATATATACATACATACACAGTTGCTATTATTTTTGAGCACTTCTTATAAAAATGGACTCTGTTGTACAGACAGAATGGATTATTAGGTGATTTAATCAGCACAAGTCAGCTGAGATTGCCATGGACGTTCCCTTTCTTTTTAGAAATATGAAGTTTGTGTTATTTTTAACATTTCTTCTTCAGTTGGTTTATTGTTGCTCATAGCTTTCTCTTGAAATCATAAAACTAAAGTTAGCACTGGAAAATTTCATCAGAAAACCTTACTCAGAAACAAAAATGAAACCCTCCTTGTAAAAATGGATGCCAAAATATATAGCAAACAACGCTTTCATATTTTTATGCGAAATTATCTGGATCCCTTAGAGCATTCTCATAAAACATTAGTATCTCACTTCACCAGCATGGTAACACCTTATCCCTAAAAACTAAAATCACTTTAAATCATGTACATTCCTTTCATTCATTCTGCATAACTTACAGTTTATTGATTTTATATGCCTATTTATGTTCTCTGTAGGTCTTTTTTTGTTTGTTTGTTTAATGCTTGTCATGCCTATATTTACATTGTTTTTGTTGTTAGATGCCGTTGAGTTGGTACCGACCCATAGTGATCTTATGCACAGCAGAACAAAACACAGCCCAATCTTGGGCCATCTTCACTACTGTTGCCACACTTGAGTCCATTGATGCTGCCACTTGGCCAATCCATCTCGTTGGGTATACGTTGTTGTTGTTGTTGTTAAGTGCCTTCAAATCGGTTCTGACTCACTGTTGTTGTTACGTGTCAAGAACCAACTGTGTAGTTCAAACTGTCCTTGTGGTCCACTGCTTATCCTACAATACCATACCAGGACTCCTCCCAACTCATAGTGACCTTGTACAGGATTTCCAAGGAATGGCTGCAGAGTTTGAGTGGCCAACCTTTTGGTTAATACACCAGTGCTTATCCTATAGTACTATATCAGTCCTCTAGCTGTTTTGCTGACGTAACTGCAAATATTAAAAATATTCCTATATACATACGAAGGTCACTATATATGAATATGAATATCAATATAAAGTCCTGGTGTGGCATTGTAGTATACGGATTGGACTGAAAGGTGTGTTTGAATCAAAAGGTTCACACTCATCAGCCACTCTTTGGAAACCCTCTACAGAGTTGCTATGATTCAGAATAGACTTGATGGTACTTAATAAGAACAATGTCATTGCAGGGTCTGCACAATTGTATCTATACATAACTGATTCCCTGACACATAGGTTCTACAATAATGATTCTAAATCCTTTTTATATCCTGTGACTCCCCTTTGCCTGTTTGGTCCCGTTTTATTTAGCACGACTTATACTTGGAGTCCTGGTGTGGTGCTGTGGGCTAATGCATCAGACTGTAAAGTCATTTGAACTTCAAGGTTAGTGGTTCAGGCTCAACAGCTGCTCCTTGGAAACCCTATACAGGGCCGCTATGTGTCGGAATTGACTGGATGGCACTTAACAGCAACAACAACATACTTTGATTCTAAAGATATCCACATAATCAAGACAAATTCCTTTATATTGTGTTCTTACTATGGGTTGGAACCAACTCGATGGGCACTTAACAACAGCAATTAAAAAACCTCAAAATATGTTACTTTTACCTTTCTCTTTTCTGAGGCCAATTTCTTTCTATGTAAACAACTCCTTATCAAAACATTACTAATGAGTGTTCTGCAACCTCATTTCCTTCAAAGTTTCATGAAATTTCTACCTTCCATCACCTCACATTCTCCACTGTTTTCTTCCTTATAACTTGCAGAGTCAGGCTTTATTGAGATTCTATGGAAAACTGACTTTAAAAATATGTATTTTGTTTTTATTGTTGAGAATATGGAAACCATGGTTAAGGAACAGCACAGTGGTTAAGGAACTCTTATTTACTAACGGGAAGGTCATTGGTTCGAACCCACTGGCATGTCTGCAGGAGAAAGCGGTGACAGTCAGCATCAGTAAAGACTCACAGCCTGGGAAACTTTACAGGGCAGTTCTACTCTGCCCTGTATGCTTGCTATGAGTAGGTTTGGACTTAACAGTAATAGGTAGTAACAGCTGAGAATATACAGAGCAAAATATATGCTAATTTAATTGTTTCTACACATAGAGTTCAGTTTCACTGATTATATTCTTTGAATTGTGCAGTCATTTTTACCCTACTTTTCTGTGTTTTTCCTCCTCCATTAACATAAAATCTACTACCCTCTAAGTTTCTGATCAAATCTTTGGAGTTATTGTTGCCAATTTGATTCCGTAGAGTCAGTTATGTGAAGTCCTGGTGTGATGCTGTAAGATAAGCAGTGGAGTTCTAACCTCAAGGTCAATGGTTCAAACCCACCAGCTGTTTGTCAGAAGCCCTATACAGAGGCACTATGTGTCAGTAACAACATGACAGTACTTAACCCCCACAACAGCCAGCTCTCTGAGATGGCAGTACGTAAAGATGAAAGGGGTCCATGCAGTCTCACAGTTTTGATGGCAATAATAAGCTACTGAGCTAACCAATTTGGATGGCCTTTTGAAATTCTTTCGACTTAAGATAATACATTTTCCTTATTGTCTATTTCAGTGGAAAAAACATTTGTGCCAGCAACTGAAAATTAAATGCAGTTTAAGCAAACGGAATTAATTTATCTCAATGAACTAGAAATTAGCAAATCAGCAGTTTAAGATGGCTATTGTGATTCAACTGCACAATCAATGTAATACATTTTTCCCAGCTTTCCTTTCTGTAATTTTGCAATGTCGTGATCATAGATTTATGGTTTTAAGATAGCTGGTATACTTTCTGGTTTCACATTTATATTCAAGGCATAGAGAAAAAGAATTTAGGAGAAATAAGCTTTTTTTATTCCTATGTTTTCTCTTTCTGGAAAAGATGTTGCTGTTGTTGTTTAAAATGTTTTATTGTGAATTATGTGATAGTTTACATGGGAGAACATTAGCTTTACAATCATCCTATAGTATATCATTTCATTGCCATGGTTACAATCCCCTCCATGCGTCATCAACCAACCAAATG